TGTAGAGGTGAGTAGCATAGTGACATTCAGAGGAGAGCTCGTGACTCTCCAGTAGCTGATTCTTTTATTTCATTCCGTCTTCCACAGTAAGATCTTACTACATCTTCTTGCGGCATTCCGAGGAAGAAGAGTACGTCTACGCTCGTGGCTTACCAGAGCATCAGTAGCTACTCGCGTAGTAAGACTGACTCATAAGACTCAGATTAGATCTTCGACAGAGGTCTTCACACCATAGTGGTAACCTTCACCACAGAAGCTCACCAGTTCTACCTTGTCGTTGTCGCTCGAACCCCGTAAATCTACGTGGTCCTCCGAACAGGTTCCCACAAAGGTGGACACTGTGGGAATCAACGACAGCCTGGTTGGCTTAGGCACAACAATGGAAGAGGAGCTTAGAACAGAAGCGAGTGGGGGACGATCTGAAGGATCGAAGCAACGGAAACCTCGTAGAGGCGCCCCTCCTTCTTCGTTAAGTCAACCAACTCCTTCCGATCGTTCTCGATCTTCGTCACCTTCTAAATCTAACAGATCTACTTCAACTACTGCCCTACCTAGAACTTCCACGTCAACGAAAGCAAAAGCTTTCTCCATTCCAGCAACTCCTCAGCCTCCCAAGAACGTAAAGAAGCCTATTTCAAACTATTTCGGAGCGCGCAACGATCAACTGGACGTAGCCGCTTCTTTTAGGAGGAGACAACCGTTAGAGGGCCGAGCGGCTTTCAAACATCATCGCTTTCTACCACGTTCGGCGTCGACTACTACTACTCCCTCTTCCTCCAGTTTCCAACCTCAGTTTCCATCCCCGGAATCACATTACACCCAGAGCTCATACCGAGCTTTCGAATTTAAAATACCCGCTCCCATTTCGCCAACAACGGATATCAGCGCACAAGGGGAAATACTTCCTGCTTCTTCTATATCCCATCAGCTCAGTATCACCTCTCCACCAATCATAGAATCAGTCCTCACCGACAACGATACTTTAGACATGAGCTCTACCATAGAAACTACGTCGTCACAAACTTTTCGCCCTGAGACAGGCAGAGGCTATGAGGGGTCCCCTATGGCGCGACTCATACGTCAGTTCAAGGAGTCGAGTGATGACGACATATCTACTTATCAGCAAGCAATAAACCTTTCCGCGAAGTCTTGTCTACTATCTAATGACGTAGTGGAACTTGAAGGGTCTCAAAGAAGCTTCGCATTACATCCCACTCTCCTAAGAGACGTCACTCAGTTAGTAGGAGAGTTGCAAGTTTTCCTAGAGCGAACGTCCACTTTAATCCCTGAAAGAAGCTCTTACTACAAAGTAGATCCTAGGGATACATTTTTATCTATCTTGAGAGAATCTTCAGATGCTCTACAGGTGCATGCGGCTTGGATGGGGTTGTCCAGGCGACTACGATTCGCACAAGAGAATCTATGGAAATACGAAGCACAGTATTGCAGTCCTTTGGCTGGCGAAAATGTCATCATGCCCACTTCTCCTCTTTCCACGGATCCAGGTATCTACGAAGCCATGGAAGACTTGGACAATTTGGATCTTCGATTAAGGTACTTATTCGATAACGTACCACAGTACTTTACAGTGCCCCTCCCATTCCTGCAGGAATCCGCTGGAATCCACAGGAATCCACCGGAATCCGCAGGAATGGGACCGGAATCTGCAGGAATCCACAGGAATCCGCAGGAATGGGACCAGAATCCCCAGGAATCCACAGGAATCCACAGGAATGGGACTGGAATCCACAGGAATGGGACTGGAATAGAAGTAAAATCATAGATACAACATACATTTACACCAATACACACTTCTGCATACTTCTCTCAGTACTTTTTAAGCTGATCAGTTTTCAGTATTAGTTCTGATCAGACCTTGGACAAAGTAAGGAGATATTATGTGACTGAATCTAACTCAGGCCTTCTGCTGACAACTTAATCTTAGGATTCCTTAGGACATTTATACTTAAAGAGGGAAGATTCATTTAGACTCATTTATTAAAAATACATGATGGAATTTATCTACATTGAATCTAGATAGAGGGAGGGGGAGGAGTGGAGGGAGAGGGGAAAAGTGGAGGGAGTGGAGGGAGTGAGGGGGAAGGAGTGGAGGGGTAGGGGTGCTGGGGAGTGGGGGGAATGAAGAACTAGAGGGGGGGGGAAAAACTGAAGGGAGGGCAGTGAGGGAGAGGGGAGGTAGGGAATGAGGGAATGAAGGCAGGGGGTAGGGAATGAAGACAGGGGGTAGGGAATGAAGGGGGTAGGGAATGAAGGGAGGGGGTTGGGAATGAAGGGGGTAGGGAGAGGGAGGGAGTGGTGAGCAGGAAAGGAGGGGGAGTAAGGGAGGGGGAAGGGGATGGTGGGTAGTGGGTGAGCAGTAGGGAGAGGGAAGGAGTTGTGAGCAGCAGGGGAGGGGGAGGGAGTGGTCTCGTTGGCGCGCATCGTCGACGCGTCATCGCGTCGCGTCGTCGTCCTCGCGTGTTGTCGTCCTCGTTGGCGTCGTGTCCGCTGGGCATTGCGTTGTGGCCGTTAGGCGTCGTTTCGTGGGCGGCCTGTGGTTTTTGTGGGCGCCGTGGTGTTTTTGTGGGCGCCGTGCTGTTGCCGTAGGTGTTCGTGGTGTTTTCGTGGGTGTTATGGTGTTTTCGTGAGATGCGGGTGACGTACGTTGTCAACGTCGTCGTCGTCGTTGGCGTTGCGGCGTGCGTGGTCGTTGTGGGCGCTCGTGGATGGTGGTGGGTTCGTCGCGTTGTCGTCGTTGTGACGTGGCGTTGCGCCATTTGCGTGGTCGTTGTGGTGGGCGCTCGTGGATGGTGGTGGGTGCTCATGGATGGTGGTGGTGTTGTTGTTGTTGTCCGTTTGGCTGCCACGTCGCTGGCGGTGGTCGTTGCCGTTCGTTGCTGGGTGGTAAATGTACTTACATATCCGAGTGCGTGCCCGCAAACCAGACTTCCAGGGTTTGCGGATGCTTTACTGTCACCTTGTTCATACCCTGCGCACTTCAGTCACCCAGTGCCAACTGACTATTAGTCATGCAAACTCCACGTAAGTTACATGACTAAATGTCATAGACCATATCTATATTCTAGATATATATGGGTCCTAGAAAGCCCTGAAATCTAAAATATATTCTTGAGACATGGACCCTGAAATGTCACACAAAAATTATAATGTCTGTGTCACACCACCAAAATATATTTTGCAAGTGAAATGCAGTAAGGATATATTTTTGGTGAGTGGACCCTGAAATGTCACTGTCACACCTTAGAAATATATTTTTGCCCTGGTTTGGCCTTAGGATATATTTTGTGAAGCAGGATATATTTTTCTGGTCTGTAGGGGTGTCAGGGGTCCTAGTTTCAGCAAAAAACTTGTGATTTTTTTGATGTCTGGGGCATATATTCTGGAAGATTGTGCAATGATTTCCACTATGTCTGGCTTGTGCTTCCAGTATGTAGATAGCAATAAGGGCATCAATAGCATCTGTGATCTACCTTAAATATTATCCAATGAATACAGTTCATATTACAGATTCTTTTAGCTCCTCAGAGTTCACAAAGTACTTTGTTGTTTCTCTCCTACTCTTCCTCTCTTTTTCCTCCCTCTCTCCTCCTGTCCCTCCCTCCCTCTTTCTCTTGGCTTTTGATTGTAAATTTATGGACAACCAATTCCATTCTCCTCTAAAAAATTTGGACATCAATGACATGTGTGATTCACCTTGAAGCTATTCAGTACAAGATTCCTGAGTTGCTTAAGTATCCACCTTGACACTATGAATACAGTTCACACTAAGTTTACAAAGTACTCTGAGCAGCCTTATAACTTTACTTCAGCTCTGATCCTTTAGTCACATCTTATCTGCATACCCCACCAACATGTGTATTACCATCCCCACCAGTCAAACCCCCACATGTGATGTCAAACGTCTCTTCCAACCCACTTTCAAACACAAGAGTTCACAAAGTTCTTTGTCATTTCTGTCTTTCTCCTCTTGTCAACACATTCAGAAATGTCTGAAACCATCCTCCAGAAAGCACTGTGCTGCTACCTTCTGTTTTGCCACACCCCCTTCCACAATAGAGGCTGACACTTAGCAGCGGCAGCAGGCACCTTGCTTGCTGACAAATATGCTGCTTTGCACCAATACAATGCAACTTTTTCTTTTGTAACAAAGGAAACAATGTTCAAGAGCTAGTTAACTGGAAAGATGTATGTAAATTTTGGAGCTGGCACTAAGAAAGAGATGACAATATTATGTTTTGAAAAGATGAGTTGTTTGTACAGGTTTGCTCACTCGCATGCGCAATATGCAAGAGAAGCTCCATGGCCCATGGGAAATTTGTTTGTTCATGGTTGCCTGCTCACGTGCGCAATATGCAAGAAAAGACAGAAGTTTGTTTTTAGCTGTTTGGTATTTATGACCTTGGGAGACCTTGACAAACAAGGTGACATCCAATGCTGATGTATCTGGCAAATCAACATGCCATCTCAGAGGTACGACTTCTGCTTGTTTCAGAAGGGGGGTGGTATTCCAGCTAGATGCAAAACCCTAGACACCTCCTGAAAATTTCTGGTGTCTGCCTCACTTTGTGCAAACAACTGCATTTGGCACAAGTTTGTATCATGATAACTTCAATTGGAGCATGGAGCACTCCATTACACTGCATTGGAGCAGGACTTGCATCATTTGTGCCCGCTTCCACCCTCAAATGGTTGTTTGCACAAAGCGAGGCGGAGTCGAGAAATTTCTGCAAGGTGTCTAGGGTTTTGCATTCAGCTGTCACTTGTTGACTTATGATTGACTCTACTAGGATATATTACCAGGATATTTCGTATCCTGAAACAAGATCTTGGTACATTTTATAAACTATATCCTGGACTGGATATATTACCAGGATATATTTTGTATCCTGAAACAAGATCTTGGTAGATTCTCTTAACTATATCCTGGACTGGATATAATACTAGGATATATTACTAGGATATATTTCTAGGATATATTTTATATCCTGAAACAAGATGTTGGTAGATATATCTGAAGTTATACATACATACAAGTAACAGGACATATATACTTAGTAGATTTGTCTGTAGAATTCAGAAGAGAAAGGTGTATTTCATTCTATATAACTACATAAAATGTACATTACTACATTGAATATTGAATAAATAGAGGGAAGGAGTGAGGGAGGTGGTAGGCAGTGAGGAGGAAGGGTGAGGGTGGTGGGCAATGAGGGAGAAGGGAAAAGGGTGGTACACAATGAGAGAGGGGTGATAGGCAAAGGGGGGAAGAGGGGGGAAGGAGGTGGGTGGTAGGCAATGAGGGAGGGGGGAAGGAGGTTGATAGGCAATGAGGGAGGGGGGGAGAAGTGGTAGGCAGTGTTGGAGGGGGTGAGGGTTTTGGGCAGTGAGGTGTAGGGGGTGGTGGGCAGTGAGAGAGAGGGGGTGAGGGTGGTGGGCAATGAGTGTGGAGTATTCAGCCTCGTCGCCGGGTGTGGGTGGTGGGCGCTCAGCGTGTCTTCGACACCCTCGTCGTCTCGTCGGTTTTACGCCCTCCTCCTCCTCCTCCTCGTCGTCGTCGTCTGTTTGCCGTCGTTTCTACACCCTCCTCCTCGTCGTCCGTCATTGGTACGCCCTCCTCGTCGTCGTCCGTTCACCGTTGTGGTTGTCGTCCGTCGTCCTTCATCTGTTTGCCATCGTCGTCGTCCGTCTTTCGTCCGTTCGCTGTCGTGGTTGTCGTCCGTCGTCCTTCGTCTGCTTGCCATCGTCGTCATCCGTCTGTCGCCCTTCAGTGTCCTCGTCACACCGTTGATTGACGTCTGTCCCGCCTGGCGTCGTGACGTGGCCGTTGACGGGCGGCATACCCCTCCCTTTGGGAAGGGGTGGCGTGGTGACGTGGGGTGCTATCCTTCAAGGGCTGGATGATGGAGGTCCTTTGTTAGAGATGTTTTGAAGTGGGGGGGCGGCTTACCGTTTACCGTGGTTGACATAGAATGACGACGACGACGTAATTGTCGTCGTCGTCGTCGTCCGTCTGTGACGCATAGTGGCCACGTCGCTGACGGCGACCTGGCCCGGCTTGCTCCTGGGGTCGGTCATGGCCCTGGGACCGTGGTGTGGGCTGGTCGTGGTTTTTCGTGGGCGCTGGTCGTCGTTCGCCACTTGGTCTTGGTGTTGCTTGTGGCCGTCGTTGTTGTTAGGCGGTCGTAATCGTTTGTTGGGCGCTGATCGGTGTTTGTTGGTTGCGTGTGGGTGTCGAGTTGTTGGGCGCTCGTCGTTGTTTGTGGCGTGTGGGGGTCGACTTGTTTGGCGGTGGCATTCTTTTGTTGTTTGGTAGGGCGGCCGTCGTTCATTGCAGTGGTGGGGGTTGGTGCCGAAGTGGTGGTGGGGCGGCGTGTCGCTGTTGTGAATGTTGACGTGGTGGTTGTGGGTTGAAGAAGGAAGCCATGTCACAGATTGTGACGTCGGCATCAACGTTCAAACTCGCGCACGCTCACGCCCAAATCCCAACTTCATGAGGAAGCCTTGTTCCCACTCGCGCGTGAATTTGTTGTGTTTATTAGAATTTTGTAGTGTGTAGTGTCCTCCTTTTCAATATAAAACTTTGTAGGGTCTGCATTTTGGGAGTACAAAATATTTGTGGTGTTCATTTCTCATAACAAAACTTTGTAGTGTTCACTTAATGGGACTACAAAATCCACAGTCTATTTTTTCATTGTAAAAGTTTGTAATATCTGCTTTTTCATTACAAAAATTTGTAGTATCAGCTTTTTGTGACTACAACAGTTTATACTCTCCACATCTTGGGACTACAAAAATTTGTATGTCTGCTTTTTGAGACAACAAAAGTATTATGAGTCCTTACGAGTTTACGAGTAAGACTCATTCTTTATCAACTGAGGACTTGGGCAAATTTTTCATTCATTGATTCATTTACCTTTCATCACCGCGGGAACCTTTTCTCTTAAACAGAAAAGCAGCCATAAAATCAGGAAAAATGGTAAAAGAAATCAGCAAAAAATATGTAAAAATCAGAATATTGCTTAGTAAGGTGGGGAGGCTGTGTTCAGGGTTCAGGGTCAATATCTAAATATAGAAACCACCTAAAAGTTGCCAGAAAATCAGAAAAAAATACCCCAAAATTAAGAGTGATCTTCTCTGTTGCCATGGTGTTGAAGGGGCTGTGTCCAGTATTCAGGGTCCATATCCAAATATGGAAATCAAGACAACCATGTAAAAATATTGTCATATCATGCAATGTGACTATATCTTGAGACCAGCTTTCTTGCTCTTTGAGATATTGGTCAAAAATGCATGACAATTTCCAAAAAGTGTCCAATTTTTTCAGTATTTTGTGTTTTTCTCAATGAGGAATGGTCTGCATGACATTATTTATATATATCTATAAAGGTAAGGAAAGGGGCTACAATTGTTGTTTATGGAGCTAAGTGAGAGGCTGTGCTTCTGATACCATGGGAATTTTAAC